TTCTGAGGCTTGATTTGTGACCCAAGATGTGATCCATCCTGGAGAATGTTCCATGTGCACTTGAGAAGAAAGTGTACTCTGCCACTTTTGGGTGGAATGTTCTATAAATATCAGTTAAATCTATCTGGTCTATTGTGTCATTTAAAGCTTGTGTTTCCTTGTTTGTTTTCTGTTTGGATGATCTGTCCATTGGTGTAAGTGGGGTATTAATGTCCCCTACTATTACTGTGTTACTGTTGATTCCCCATTTCATGGTTGTTAGCATTTGCCTTATGTATTGAGGTGCTCCTATGTTAGGTGTATAAACATTTATAATTGTTATATCTTTTTCTTGGATTGATCCCTTGATCACTGTGTAGTGTCCTTCCTTATCTCTTGTTAACAGTCTTTATTTTAAAGTCTATTTTATCTGATACAGGTATTGGTACTCCAGCTTTCTTTTGATTTCCATTTGCATGGAATATCTTTTTCCATCCCTTCACTTTTTTCAGTCTGTATGTGTCCCTAGGTCTGAAGTGGGTTTCTTGTAGACGGCATATATATGGGTCTTGTTTTTTTGTCCATTCAGCCAGTCTGTGTTTTTTGGTTGGGGCATTTAATCCATTTACATTCAAGGTTATTATCGATATGTATGTTCATATTACCGTTTTCTTAATTGTTTTGCGTTTGTGTTTGTGGGTCTTTTTCTTCTCTTGTGTTTCCTACCTAGAGAAGTTTCTTTAGCAGTTATTGTAAATCTGGTTTGGTGGTGCTGAATTTTCTTAGCTTTTGCTTGTCTGAAAAGCTTTTGAGTTCTCCATCAAATCTGAATGAGATCCTTGCTGGGCAGAGTAATCTTGGGTGTAGGTTTTTCTGTTTCATCACTTTAAGTATATCCTGCCACTCCCTTCTGGCCTGCAGAGTTTCTTCTGAAAAATCAGCTTATAACCTTATGGGGATTCCTTTGTATGTTATTTTTTGTTTTTCCCTTGCTGCTTTAAATATTTCTTCTTTGAACTTAATTTTTGTTAGTTTGATTAATATGTGTCTTGGTGTGTTTTATCCTGTATGGGACTGTCTGTGCTCCCTGGACTTGGGTGACTATTTCTTTTGCCATGTTAGGGAAGTTTTCCACTGTAATCTGTTCAAATATTTTCTCAGACCCTTTCTTTTTCTTTTTCTTTTTTTTAAATTTACATTAAAAATTTTCTATACAGCAGGTTCTCCGACACTTTCTTTTTCTCTTCTTCTTCTGGGACCCCTATAATTCGAATGTTGGTGCATTTAGTGTTGTCCCAGAGGTCTCTGAGATTGTCTTCAATTCTTTTCATTCTTTTTCCCTTATAACTGCTCCTCAGCAGTTATTTCCACCATTTTGTCTGCCAGGTCACTTATTCGTTCTTCTGCCCCAGTTATTCTGTTATTGATTCCTTCTAGTATGTTTTTCATTTCAGTTATTGTGTGGTTCATCCCTGTTTATTTGTTCTTTAGTTCTTCTAGATCTTTGTTAAACATTTCTTGTATTTTCTCAATCCGTGCCTCCATTCTATTTCCAAGATTCTGGGTCATCTTTACTATCATTACTCTGAATTCTTTTTCAGGTAGATTGCGTATTTCCTCTTCATTTATTTGGTCTTATAGGTTTTTACCTTGCTCCTTCAACTGTGACATATTTTTTTGCTGTCCTTTTTTTTTTTTTTTTTACGTTTTTTAATGAGTGGGATTGTGTCCCTATCTTACTGGTTGTTGGGCCTGAGGCTTCCAATACTGGAGTTTGTAGGCTATTGGTTAGAACTGGGTCTTGGTGCTGAGATGAGGACCTCTGGGAGACCTCACTCCGATGAATATTCCCTGGGGTCTGTTAGTCCAGTGGTTCAGACTTAGAGCTCCCACCGCAGGAGCTTTGGCCCAACCCCCGGCTCATGAACCAAGATGCCGCCAGCTGCACAGGGTGGAAAAAAAGAAAAAAAAAAGGAGAACAATAGCAAAGTAAAAAATAAAGTTAGATGAAGAAACTAACAGATATGTTAGAAAAAATATAAAAATAAAAATGTAGATGAAATAACAACCGGAAGGTAAAACAGAACCACAGCAGTAAAAAAGAGGAGGAGAAAAAAAAAATGAGGTGGAAAAGGCCTTGGCTGTGGAGGGCGGGGCCTAAGCAAGGGAGAGATTTGGGTGGTGGGCGGGGCCTATGCTTAGGACCCACAGGACTGGAAAAGGCCCTGGGAACTGTGGGGGGTGGGGCTTAGCCTCAACAGAAGGGGCCCAGGCTTGCCTCCTGCCTCTGGTCTCAGAGGGCAGGGGACCTCACGTGGGAGCCCAGCAGGCTTCCTGGGCTCAAGTGGGTGGGGCAAATGCCCTCGTCTCCTGCTCCTCCGGTCCCAGAGATCCCCTCCCACCTACCTCTCCTGGTCTTCCTGGCCTCCCTCTTATGCCCCCAGGGCCTATGCGGCCTGGAGGGGGCTTTGGAGGGCGGGGGACCAGCCTAGGAGCTCAGCAGGCTCCCTGGGCCCAAGTGGGTGGGGCTAACGTCCTCTGCTCCTCTCCTGCTCCTTGGGTCCCAGAGGGCCCCTCCACCTGCCTCTCCTGTTCTCTCCCGGCCTCTCTGCTATGCCCCCAGGACCAACCCGGTCCAGAGGGGACTTCTGAGGGCACACGACCCGGCCTGAGAGCTGGGCAGACTTCCCCAGCCAGTTGGGCAGGGGAAACGCTGGGCGCGCTCCACCCTGATCCAAGCCCCTGAGGGTCCCTCCAGGCACGGGAGGGCTCCCAGAACCCCTCCCCGCTCTCAGACACACCTCAGGGGCACCGGTCCTGTCCAGCCTCCACATCTCCTCCCCCTTCAGTCCCCCCATGTCCTACCGGTTCGATTGGGGGTTCTTCCCATCTCCTTGGGCATCGGGGTTCCCCACCAGCGTCTGGCAGTTGTGGGGTGACGTGAACTCTGCGTCTTCCCACCGCCATCTTCTCACCTTTAGCTTGAATGATCTTTTAAAAATACAAATAAAAATGATTTAAAAATACAAATCTTTTAAAAATACAAATCAATTTTCTAACTCCCACTTCAATCCATGGCTTTCTGTTACTCTTAAGCTAAAGCCAAGATCCTTCATAAGTCTTGGAAGGACTGAGTGGTCCAACTACTACCTCCTTCTCCAGTCTCATGTCATCTCCCTCCTTTCCTGCCTCTGTCCCCTATTCAGCCACATGGCCATGGTCCAGTCTCCTCTTGACCATCACACACCTTCTACCACGGAGCCTTTGCACCTGCTGTTGCTGCTGCCTGGTGTTCCCTCCTTTCCCCTCTTTATCTTGTGAATTTCCAGTGGTCCTCAGCCTGGTCCTCATGTGCTCAGGAAGCCTCCAATATGCCCCTTTGCAGGCTGGCCTCACAGCACTTTGTCCCCTCACCAGAATTATGATCTTACATTTAGTTGTGTGATTATTTGATCAGTGTCTGTCTCCTCCACTGGATTCTTAAAATCAGACCCTGTCTCTGTATCTTTCATCTAGTCTTTCATCCCCACTGCCTACTTTTGTGCCTGTCACAGAAAGAGTGCTCAGTAAATATTTGTTGACAAAAACCAAAAAAAAGTCTATTTTATCTCTAAGCATCTAACACAGAATCGAGTAAAAACAGAGTTTTAAAGGGCATAAATAGAGTAATGGCATATGTCACCCTAAGTACACAGTATCTTCCAGCATCATTCTAAGATGGACCAAAATGGTGGTTACCAGGGACTGGAGGGTGGGGGGGATAAGGAGAAATGTTGGGTAAAAGGACAAACTTGCAAGGAGTAGTAAAAAAGTCCTAGAGATATAATGCACAGTACAGTGAACATAACATAGACAACAATATTGTATTATAATAATCAAACTTGATAGGAGATTAGATCTTAATTATTCTAACCACAAAAAACCACAATTATAGAGATGCTAGCTATTGCTATGACGACAACTATATCACAATATATAAATGTATCAAATAAGCATGTTGTACACCTTAAATTTATACAATGTTATAGGTCAAATACTTTCAATTAAAAAAGTAAGATAGACCAAAAGAACTTTATATAATGGCTTCAACTAAAAAAAAAGAATTCAACATTTATTGCTGCAGGCTAGATAAGCCTACTTGTCAGTAGTGGATGTTATATGCACCTTACCTATTTAATCTCAGTATTTAATATCTTATCCCTCTAGCTACACCATAATTGAGCTGTTTTTTTCCCCCCCTATAGTTACTAACATGTTAGGCATATGTGATTCAAACATGGTTTTTAAAAGTGTTCATCTTGAAATAGTCTCAGAATCAACCAGCAGGTACAAGATCTGTGGTAGATGAGGGAACATGGGCTGCACGTAGCTTTAGGGTAGGAAGAGGAAGCCAAGATGCTGAGTGACAGCTGGAAAACTGAGGGGAGTAGGAAACATGAAGAGGAGATTTGAATTGACTGCATCTTGTGAAGGGTGGACTAGACTGGGTGTTCAAGGGATAAACATGTTCTACAAATTCAGGATGTAGACATAAGCAGATGGGGCAATTATCTGAGAATGTAAAAGCCCTATGAGACGAAAATGGGTCTATTTATCTCCCCTTGAAGAATCTGTAAAAAAGACCTAACTTCTTCCAGAGACTCCAGGTCAAACCTGCTTGGGGGTTGCAGCAGAAGGGAGGTGAGGGGTTAGCTGTTAAAACTGTAAAGACCTACCTGCTTGCATGGAGTTTTACCTCTCACTTCTGCACATCAAATTAAAGTAGATCTCACCCCAACTGAGGGGGTGGTGACTTGGACTCCTGCCCTGGGTGGACAGGCAGGGACCACTTTCTCCCTGGGGTGGTGGTAACATCAGCGATGAATCTGGGGACCCTTCCCTAAGTGTTTTGCTCGGTTTTGACGCCGTTGTTTGCAGACAGACAACCAGATGGACGCGCTGACCCCTGGAGGTGTCACGCCCTCACCCTGGGGCAGTGGCCACTGCGTTTCTCACTCTTCCTTGTCGCCCTCCTCCCGCAGGAATCAGAAGGCGTTTCCTGCCACTACTGGTCGCTGTTTGACGGTCACGCGGGGTCCGGGGCTGCTGTGGTGGCATCCCGCCTGCTGCAGCACCACGTCACGGAGCAGCTGCAGGACATCGTGGAGATCCTGAAGAACTCGGCCGTGCTGCCGCCCACCTGCCTGGGCGAGGAGCCCGACCACACACCCGCGAACAGCCGGACTCTGACCCGCGCGGCCTCGCTCCGCGGAGGGGTGGGCGCCCCCGGCTCCCCCAGCACCCCGCCCACGCGCTTCTTCACCGAGAAGAAGATCCCGCACGAGTGCCTCGTCATCGGGGCTCTTGAAAGTGCATTCAAGGAAATGGTAGGTATCACTGAAGACTCTAGGGCAGCAGGGGCCTGGGTGGTCACTTAAGCCACATGCTTGTTTCTTAGAAAGTTCCCTGGAAGGGCATGTCTCTGACCTGTCCGCTTGCTGCATGGTCCCCTCTGTCTGCTCCTTTTACAGCAGGGCTTCCATTCTCAAAACAAGTGGGCAGCAAGAGAGTTCTAGCCTCCCGTGCCGGCAAAGGTGTAAAAGAAGATGGAAGCGGGATAGTGAGTATGGTGATAGGCTTATTAAATGGACGCGTATTGCTTCTCTTTCTGCCAGCTCTCAGGGGTGCCAGCTGGTAGGATTGAACTTAATTGAAACTGTGAGCTCGGTTGCCATCTGTTTTACACGTATGTACACGAATTCCAGGTGTTTGGGGAAATGGAGCTTTTAGTAAAGTGTTCAGAAGTACGCTTGCTGTACAGATCTAATCTGAGAACAGCTGTTTTCCCATGATTGGCAGTGTGGTCCCCACCGCTTAAAGCAAGTAGGAGCCAGTATCCAAGAATTCTTTGTTTTACTTGGGAACGTGGATTTGTTTGTACATTTAAATTTGAATATATCTGATCAGGGGATTCAGCCTCCCTCCTGAGAACACACTAAGCTGCCCTCCCGGTGTCCCCTGCTTGTCCCTCTGCCCGGTGAGAATGCACATAGAAGGTCTCTTCTGTGCCACCCCCTTGAGCTCGCTTATACTGAGGCAACTATTTGGGTTCCAAAGATTTTCTCTCCTGAGCAGCATCCTGCATGCAGATACAGTAGGAGATATGTAGAGATGTTATAAGGACTAGAGTAAGGTGAGTGGGCAGTAGTGTCCTTATAACCTGGAGATTAAAAAGTGATAACAAGCTCTTAGGTAGAGCAGGAGCAGCTAGAAGCATCTCTGCAGAATTGAATGTACACCCCGTGCACATTCCAGGATCTCACGATGTCAGGTTGAGTGCTAATGAGAGGAGAAAAGTAAATAGTATTAAACAGCATCATCTGATTTGTTTACAAGGCAGAGAATTGCTCATATACTCATGCCTCTAATTTGCAGTCTCTCCTCACTTTAGCTCATTTCTTCTTTGGTTCCAACGTTTCTCTCCTTGTCACATATTTACCCTTTTGAGTAGCAGGTGGTTTAAAACGCACCTCCATGTCAGGAGTATCTGGTAGCCTTCAATCCCAAGAAAAACACCAGGAGGCAAGAAAAGATTATTTAGGAAAAAAAGGAATCAAGGTTAGAAAAATGGACTCCTCCTTGGGCTTGGTATAAAAATCTCCCTCTATCATGGAGGCTCTGATGTGAATAGCTGTTTCTAAACATGGATTCTCAGAAAGCTAAATATTGAATTGAGGTAACAGTTTGACAGTGGACCTTCCCCCTAATGGGAGAAGAAGTCAGTTTACATGATAGAAGTGAAAAAAGCAGAAGAAATTTTGGCTTTTTTATTTCCTTCGGTAATTGCTAGTACTATGAGGTATCTTTTACTTCGCACTGCTGTATTCTCCACTTCGTCCACTAGAGGCCAATGTCACATTGAGTCAAGCCTCCACACCGATCTCAGACTGTTTCTGCCCATTAATGGTGCAGGGTTCCTAGCACCTACTGTACTTGAGAGGCTCATTCAGAAACATACTTATTAAAGAGCCCCATTCTTGTGTTTTAAATTTTTAATAACTTTTCACTAGCTGATTCATTACCAGAAATCTTTCTTGGACACTTGGTTGCCAGCGAAAAGATCACTTCGCTTTCCTGTGTAATTCATTCAATCCATAAATATTGGTTGAGAACTAACTCTAAGCCAGGGCTAGCTGGGAAAAAAGCATGGAAGAAATTAGGCAAAGACAGATATTAAACAGATAAAATGTAAATGGGAAGGGCCTCGAGAGAAGAAATGCAGAGTAGGTAGGAATCTGATAAAGAGATGAAGTAGGGTTCCCTGGAGAAGTAGTGCTGTCAGAGAGTAGGGAGAAAGCAGACAGAACGTGGGAGCTGGGAGAGTGCTCTGGGCAGAGACAACCGTTTGTGTGAAGACCCACATCACGGAGAGAACCCAGATGGGCCGAAGGCAGCGAGCTGACGTCCGCCATGGTTAGATGCAGATTTCAAGGGCAGGGATGCTGTAAGGGGACTTGGAGAGGCCATCTGTAACCAGCCTGTGGATGACTTGCTGTGCCGTAATATGGATTTTGGGCCTTAAGCCATTCTGTTCTTTTCTAATCCACCCCACCCTATAGCTTCTTCTTCACACTTAACGTTTTTCCCAGATTGTCTGTCTAGCCCCCAGCGTGCCTGCTACCTGGGCTTTGCACCATGTGCTTGGACTTATTAAGGGAGAATACTCATCATTCCTTGGTTCTCCTGGTTCTTGGCAGTGTGGCCCTACACCTCCTGCACGGCTGGGGACTGAGCCAGCTGATGCCTGTTGGCCCAGAATAGTTAATTAATACTGTCCCCCTTTACTCTCAAAAGTGTCCCTGCCTGGATGATGTCATATGTTTACCCTAATTATAGAGATGCTCTAGTTTTTTTCTTTGCTTCATCAGGGACTTCAGGAAAAATCTACTCCAGCGTCACAGAAAAGTGCCTGACTTAGCCATTAAATAGCTTGGGTTGAGCTTCAGAACTTACAACAGAGAAATTATACAGCATACTACGGAAGGCCATTGTCAACTCATAAAAAATACTTTTTCTTTCCACCCTTTCTCGCTATTAGGTTTTGAGAGTCAGCGTTTAAAGGTAAACTTTGGTTTGAAAAGCTCAACACACAGCTGATTTCCTTATTCTGTTGGCCTGACCTTGGTGGTTCCTACTTTAGACCTTTCCGAGGGGAGCAGGTTTGGAATCTCCCGGCCATTCTTAATTTTTTCCCTCACAACAGCCAGCTACTTTCGAACTTTCTAGGTGTTCTTTAGGTATTGCAGGTTTTATGCCATTCTGATCCCCTGTAATAGGAAAACTCAATATTGAATAAGATTCAGTCATTTCAGCTTTGTGGCTCTCTTGCTTTCTCCTGCACTTTCAGTCCCTAAAAATTCCCCATGCCTAGCATCTAAGCCTCAAATTTGCCACACTGATGACATATTTGCAGCTATCCCTCCTGAGATTCAGAATGTAACATAATATCTTTAAAGGCAAAGCTTGCCTTTCGTTTGGGGTTTTGCCTTATTTATGACAGTTTAGCAAAGTAGAATCAGAGGTCATTCCTCTCTCCCCACCTCCCACCAGTGCCCTTCTCAATTACTTATATATATATATATATATATATATATATATATATATATATAT